GACGAGAGGGCAATCTCCTACAGTCTGCTCTGCAAAGAGGATTGCTTCTAGTTCAAACATTCACATCCAATAACCATTCATTCAGTGCACATCCTTACAGTTAATGAAAAAAGTTTTATTATAATTATTTACAATATATACAGGTAGCAAGTCAAAACTGTAATTTATTTGTCATGCTGACAAAAAAATTACAGAACATCAGCACGTAGGAGTTATTATGTCTTCTTAAAAAACCTGGAAGAGAAGACAGAGGGAAACCAGGTCAGTAAATTATAAGTCCTGTGCAGTGTTTTCCTTCAACATGGGAAAAAACATCTACAGTACAGTCATTCATTAGTGAAATGTAACTAACTATATACAGGATTATTGTATTTTTTCTCCCAAAACCAAATAAAAAGGAATATTTAAATTGCACTATTATGTTATGAATAAATACAACATAATAATATTAAAACTGAAATATCCAGTGATCATGCATTTATTTAACTTTGAATGCTAGAATGGCTTTAGACTGTGAATATTTGAATTAATTAAAGTAATGATAGATCAATGTTGTTTTAAACATAAAGTGACATTAACAGGATGGGTAATGTACTGTATTGAATTATCTTCCATACCAGGTGAAACTGTATCCACCCAAAATGATCAAAGCAACCAGTCCTATTGATGCAGCAGCAGACAGAGATGAAACCTTCAGGACATAGGAGGTACCTGGAACAAAGAAATCCCGTGTGTAAGTAACTGGCAACTAGCACTTTTCACATTTACTTGTTTTTAAAACTTACATTTTAAAATACTTTCTGTTGCCTGCTGGCATAACTTCAGAATGTTGTAACTTTGTAAAATGTAATGTCTCAAAATAAAAGTAATAATTTTAAAAATGACACTATAGGGTCTGGATATTTTGGCCAGTGGATTACCTCTTACTTTAGCCCACAGGACACAGGAACTTTTTAAAGCCTAGTAGAGAAAACATTCGGTTAATTTTACAATTAAACCGTAAAGTCTGATGCATTTACTATAGTAGCTGCACCCACCGTTTTCCACTGACTGACTGCTCGTAAGATGATATAATAGTTTCTTCCACTCTCCAGTGGTGCATTAAAGAATCCTCCATAGTAGAGTCCATCCCCTACAGTAAAGTTCATCACTGTCCCAACATGTCTGACATCAATCTGGGCAGTGATGTACTCTGTTGAGGACTTTATTTTGCTTGAGGGGTCTGAGCTCGCAGGAGAGGGACAGTCAAACACCACAATCCCCTCTACAGGAAGCACAAACACTTGGTACCAACTGCCAAATGAAGAACAAAAAAATACTTATTTTAAAAGTGCAACATGCAACAGTTTAACTTAACTAAGTTTTTTTTTTATCAGTGTAGTTTTTTTTGGGTATACAATGATCTATGTATGTTAAGTAATTAAATGACCATGTCCCTTTTCAAAGGCTTTATATTCATTTAAACATTAATAGGCTGCTATCTTCATGGCTATAAATAATGTCTTTACACAGATTGGTAACACCTAAAGATAACATTGTATGAATCTGATTCTGCACATACTGTAGCCATTTATAGATTTTTCTGGCCGATACTGTTATTGATATTCATTTTTACAAAAAATTTGATACAGATCTTAGATTTGCTTTTGAAGAACTGTGAACAAACAAAGCGAAACATTTTACAATGATAGTAAAGTGTAAAAATCAACTTGTCAGTGCCCTCTGCTTGACAAACTTACTAACACTCAGACCTTGTTTTGCATTTCTGTTCTAAAAGTTGTTGTTACTTATTGGTCTACTTATGTACTGATAGTGATGTATCTGCAATAAGCTAATATTGGCAGCTATCGACCTGGCTGATCCACGGTTTAGCTCCAGCGCTTATACCTGCTTCTCTGGGGTGAGTGACAATGATTGTAGGTAGAAACATAGTGAGACATTGAGTTTAGTCATGAAAACTGGATGGAGGTTGATCAAATGTTAGATTATTATAACTCATTACATTTGTTTTTAGTTTGTGTCTTTTAAATAACAGTGCAGTAGATTCTATGCATTCACGAGTCATGAATCAAGTGTTGTACTAAATCATAAAAATTCAAGCAGCATTGTAAATTGAAGATAATTGAGCATAATAGAGCTGAATCACAATTGAGAAATATTTAACAAAATATAATTAACCTCTCAGTTTACATTCCCAATCACTGTGTTCAATTGCCAATTGAGTATCATTTGCCTCTTGCCATCTTGGTTGTTACCTTATTGGGTCCAGTGTGTTGGGTGATCTGCGCAGCCTCAAAGTTGGTACAGGAGTCTCAAATTCTCTGTAGTAGATAACCGGTGCTGGAGGCACTGTCAGATGTTATTATATTTAATGACCAAAGTTCAGTATGAAGAGGACTGCATCAAATGAAATACATCAGTCCTAAATATTTCCAGAAAGCTGATAACTCCAGGTTGTACTTTGATGCAGGAAAACATTTTTGTCAGAGTGTAGTAAATGTAAGCGTTGGCTGTACTATCATACCTGGTAAACTGGTGTTAGTGGTGGTGGTAGCTGTGAATCTGGCAGACACTGCAGTGACTGAAATGCTGTAGTTTGTGACCGGGAGCAGGTTCAGACAGAGTTCTAGCTGGTCACCCATGGAGCTCAGAAACCGCTTTCCTTTATCATGAAAGGACCTCTGGTAGTCCCTGGAGCCTATGTATGTCACCTGGAATTGTTATATTGAGTGTGGCATCAGTATGGTATGGTAATTGCTAAACTGTCCATACACATTCACATATAACCAGAGATTGAGGTTTATTTATTACTGAAAGCGCCTGTTTCCTATTCTGGCAAATAAGTACAAACAGCATCTACAGTGTGAGGATAAGGACAAACTCTACTCTTACCATGTAAACTTCTGTATCCTCCTCATACTTCTCTGCTTTCCAATGCAGACATTTTTCATTGAGGACAAATAGATGATTGATAGGTGGCTTTATTTCTGTAAGAGATGTGGAAATGAAAAGAGAAAAATCTTTTGTGATTTCAAAATATTACAAATCTATTTACAAATGCGTTCACAATTCAATGATGAACTGCAACTTGCAGATGTCCCTAGTGTGTTCACTTGCTATGTTCTTACTTACCTATGCACCTCAGTGTGGCTTTCTGCCACAGCCCAGAGTTGCGACACACAGAGACGTTGCTTCCCCTCCAGCTGTGATATCCATCCATGCAGCGGTGGATCACAACACTTCTGTTATGCCACACCACCTCTGAGTTGGCAAGGAAGGGATTCGGGCCACATTTAGCTAGAAAAACAACGGCACTGACTGGTTAGGTAATTACTTGTGTTATGGGCCTTTTATAAACATAATTACATACAGTATATTCTACACATATCCATGTGTATCTTTGTTTGGGTTCCCAATGCATTCCAGTGTAAGACTCATCAGAACATTTTCCTAAACATTTATTCAGCTCTTGATGGACCCACAGAAATAAATTTACCAGCACAAACGAAGGATCATGGAAAAATGTATAAAACATTATTATTTACCTCAATATACCTCAAAACCTGCATCAAGCAGAGAACATAGAGCCAAAGCAGGAATATACAACTAACCACAACTGAAACAATATAGAACTGAGCATTATCAGATGAATCAAAGCATCAACAAAAACATATCAATAACATTGAAAAAATCACAAATAATAACGCTTCCACAGTTGAATAGATGCATGTCCATGCATAGTGAATATCACTGTACCTTTGCACTTTACAGATACTTTCCCCCACTCTCCTGACAGTAAACATGTTGAAACATTAGTTCCACTCTCCTGGTAAAATCCATCCATACACTCATACAGCACCACACTGCCAGGTCTACTGGTGCGATCCCACAGGAGGTTAGTATGGGGGAGGTTTAGAGGGGGACCACAGCTTATTTCTGCACACAGACATGAATTAGCACAGTCTATGTGCTATTAACAGACATACAGTATATCAAGAGAACAAGAAGACTCTCTTTATATATTCTGGAAGTCACTGCACCAGGCCAAGAAATAGTCCAGCACATAACCCCCTGTAAAACCACAATGTGTCACACTCCTTTACACTTCTGTTTTGTATGGATTAAACAAAGAAGATATAATGTTCATTTGAGAGCTTTTAAAGTGCTGGTAGGTAGATTTTCTTACTGTTGAACAGTTTCCCTGTTTCCTTTCTTTATGCTAAGCTAAGCCAACTGCTGCTGGCTGTAGCCTTACAGTGGTATCAATATGCTCATCTAACTCTTAGCAAGCAAATACACATATTTTCTAAAATGTCAAACCAACTATTGCTTTAAACATTTTCTGCATATTGCTACAGACATTCTGAAATTAAAGCAATATCAATGTATCCGTTAAACATTGCACCTTCACACCATAGATCCATATCCTCCCACAGTCCATTCTCTCCACATACGGAGTAGTTTCTCAGGCTCCTTTTGTAATATCCTTCCTCACATTGGTAATACACCACACTGCCAATGTGTGATGTGCCGTCCCATAACATTTTAGCATGAGGTTTAGAAACAGGCTCTTGACAATTGATTTCTACAACAAAAAGACAGCAAGTCATTGTAGGTCACTAGTAGCTGGATAGATGTTGAAATGTTCAAATGAATGACACAAGTTTCCTGATATAATCCACACATCTAAAAACAGTGGTTGAAATGGCAGTTCAACAATGACAGTAAGATTTATACTGTTCAGTTAAATTATGATGTATTGGCATTATTTGAGATGATTGAATTGTTTTATTTAAGGCAGGCAACCCAATACTCTGTTGTGTTGACTCATGTCATTATCACCTTGACAGAGCAGAGAGGCTGCATCCCATTTTCCTCTGGCAGTACAAACTGATATATTTCCCTCTCCAGTGTTGCGATATCCAAAGTTACACTGATAAACAACCTGAGAGCCCACTGTGGAGATATTATCCCACAGCATGATTGAATGAGGGATGGGTGGGGGCACACCACAGTCAACTTCTACAAGGATAGAAATTGCATTGTTTAGTTAGGTGAAAACACTTATTATTTGACTCTGGAAAACAGCAATGGAAAAAATACCAAACACAGTGTCAATAACAGGCAAGTAGCAAGTTGTTACCTTTGCATGAGATGTTTGGTTTTGTCCAGTAACCATTAATTGTACACAATGATATGTTATTTCCTTCATTGTGATAAAATCCTGTTTTACAGTAGTACGTAACTGTGCTTCCAGGGGCGGAGCTGCCATTCCACACTTGCCCAGTGTGAGGCAGTATAGGAGGATCCCCACATAATATCTCTGGGACAGGAAATTATATACACAGGGGGGTTATGCAAAATTAAAACAAACAAACAAACAATAAATTTTGAGCTCATAAAATACAAGTTTTATTGTAATTAATTCTTAACAATTTTGCCCTGCACACTTAGTCCATACTACAGTCACACATGTGATTTCACTTTTGTTGACTGGCTCACTCTTGTTTTACCCTAAGACTAGGCACACAAGACATGACAGAAACACTAGAAATATGTTCTTACTTTTCATAATTGAAAAGAAAACTATTTTAGGAGTTTCATTCATTGTTTGAATTACCTTGGCACAACAGAGTTGGGGGGGTCCACTGACCGTTTTTATTACAGATCGATATATTATGTCCTCCTTTGTTATAAAAACCCTCTTTACAAAAATAGAGCACAGTGCTGCCAGGGGTTGAAGTACTGTTCCAAACATGCTCAGTGGATTCAATTATAGGAGGATGTCCACACAAGGTCTCTACAAGGAATAACATACACCACAATCATGCAACATGAATGCCAGGATTCAGATAAATTCCTTCTCAGTTTACTCAATTCAGGAAGTTAAAAATTGTTTTTCAAAACTCTACAATGATCTGATAAAACAGTAACTGTACCTTGACAGAGCACGGACGGTTTCTCCCACTGTCCAGAAGCAGTACAGATGGACACATTGCCCTTTCCAACATTATGATATCCAGAGTTACACTGATAAAGCACCTCCGTGCCCATCTTTGAGCTCTTATTCCACAGCATATGAGAGTGAGGGAGGGCAGGGGGAGAGCCACAGTCAACCTCTGAGAGCCAAAGCAGTGACACGCTGCATGAAACTGTTTTCACTGGCAAATCTCCAGGAACTCTGTCCAACTGATCAGTTTCATGATCCCTGTGCTCTTGAAACTGGTTAAAACTCACTAAAAAACTGCACTGTCATCAGTGGAAGATTCATTATGTTATCATCCATTTACGGCTTAATGGACAGGCTCCTAATGGTTCAAGTCTGTCATAAAACAATAGTTATTTAAAGTTTTTGCTTGCTGTAATCATTCCTCCTGTTCATACTGGCTGTGAAGAGATCCCTTCATAACGCAAATCCACAGTCCTATTGTTTTAAGACCGACTGAGAAAATTGTAAACCTATCATTTAAAAACACTCTTTAGCTTTGCTTTCAATAGCTCGCTGTTGTAACTCTGATGTGCTCTTTGTCTCTTTAATAAATTATACAGTATACCTTATAACCTCATTTAGCTGACACTGTTAGGAATACCTGAAAATTAATAAACACACCTTTATAGGTCATGAATGTCACAAACACCTAAAGCAGAGAAAGTACAGAGCCATATTGTGCTGAATAAAGTTAATGAATAGTTATATAATGCTAGAAGAGGAAAAAAGAACTATGGAGGGTGGCAGAATGTTTTTGTTTGCTTTTGTTTTTTTACCTTCACAGACCATGGTGGGTCCTCTCCACAGTCCATCAGCTCCACACACAGAGCTGTTGTCTCCGCTAATCCACACAAAGCCTTCGTCACAGCCAAACATGGCCACACTGCTGTATGTGGTACCTGTGACTGACAGCAGCACTGTGTCCTCCACTGAGGCATGCTGGCCACAGTCAACCACTGAGAGGGACAAGAACATAAAATCATTACATGCTGGAAAAGACAAAATAGAAAATAAAATAGATCCCATTAATGCAGTTTTACCTCTGCAGGAAGCTCTGTCTCTGTAAGGGTGGAAGGGCTCCGTTCCATTGTGGACTTGGTATCCCAGCTGGCAGCTGCAGTCAAAACTGCCCTCAAGATTCCTGCATTGACCTCCATCTCCACACAAGCCTGCGATCCTGCACTCATCAATGTCTGCACAACCCATTGTAAATGAGCATTTGACATAAAACGACAATGTCGAAAACTCTCCAAATTGTCTGTATGACTATTTAATTATGTGTCATTTCTCATTTTTAGTCTGTAGTTTTTAATCTCACACCTAACAGTTTTTGGTTTAAGTTTGACAACTTTAACAGCCTTGTGAAAAAGTTTAAACTCACCCCGACAGTGGGTTCCATCGTTTGGGATGAAGACTGCCATGTTGTTAGAAGGGCTGTAGCCAGCCAGGCAGGTACAGTAGTAGCTGCCATATGTGTTGTGGCAGGCGGTGTGCTGCCCACAGATTTTACTTGCTCCTAACTGACACTCATCTTTATCTGGAAGAAAAAAGTAGAGTTTTCTTTTAGTTGAAATCATTAATGTTATTAATTCTACCTGTGAGTTTCCTCCTATGACGAGTCAAAATGTTTTATGTAAAAAAAATCATTGGGGCAGTGCGTACCATATATGAAGGCTGAGTGACAGCATTCTAACACATTAAACTAAGATGCCTACTGTGAGATGACTGATGCCTTCTTAATATCTGCTTTGCCATTGTGTGTACATTACTAAGCTGATCACATTAAAGGACCAGTGTGTAGGATCTAGTGGCATCTTGAGGTAAAGTTACAGATTGCAAATATTTGAATGCAGCTCAGCCTTCCAAGCGTGTAGGAGAAACTACAGTGGCCGTGAAACGAAACACAAAAGGCTCTATCTGCAGCCAGTGTTTGGTTTGTCCCTTCTGGGCTACTGTAGAAACTTGGTGGTTCAACATGGCGGACTTTGTAGAAGAGGACTCACTCCCTCTGTAGATAAAAGCGGCTCATTCTAAGGTAACAAACACACAACTATTCTTATTTTCAGGTGATTACACACTGATGAAAAGCAGGGAGTTATTGAGGGAATTAATAGGCTCTTTACCTCCTAAATGCTCCACTACATTCTCTAGCTAGTCGAAAACTGTCTGCGTTCTGGTGCTGAGCAGGTGGTGTACTGTGACTTTTTTTTGGCTAAAATAATTAGAAACAATGCTGATGAGAGCAATGAGCCTGAACCAAAATACTAAAGTTGTGGGTGGTAAAACCAAAACAATAAGCTGAAAGACTGCTAAAATGCTCTCAGGGGAACAGCAGAGCAGGGTTGTAATTCTTCACAACAGACAACACCAATTATACAGTAATTTGATCTATTGTATATATAATATGATATAATATAAAAATATTAATTAGATAATAATTCCATGTTTAAACTCTGCAGTTCTCATTAGAAAACCCTTTTCTCATTACAAAAAAATTTGAGGATTTAATGAAGAGACTTCTTATTAACATTGTTTTCCTACCTTGACAGAAGGTTCTCCCATTTCCAACAAAGCCATATTTGCAGTTACAAACTTTGCCAGAACCGTCTGACTTGTCGTCACATGTGGCGTTAGCATGGCAGGTGGCACACACATCCAGAGTGTGGCCTTCTGCTAGCATATCTGAGAGGATAGAAAGAACATCCATCAGTCAGTATCTTCAAAGGGTTTCACTTTTTATGATGTTAAATAATCACCAAATGTGACAAAAAACTGTCATTACTATTCTCACCCGCAATGACACAGAGCAGAAAAACCACGATCATTGTTCTGTTTCTCTCGTCCATCCTCTCTGAAAGTCTGTCGTGCTCTTCACTTCACCAGACACTCAACCTCCTTATCCCCATCTTCTTTTTTCATTTCTTACTTCCGTTTTGTGGACCATGATGACACTGAGGGGATTTGATAACCAGGATTGAGGGGACGCAGTAAGTGGGTGAGCTGAGGTCACCCTGAGAAATAGCTGCTTTTGTCAATGGTCTTCTTGTGGCTGGTGGTTTTGTGGCTTCATCTGTCATCCGCTGACACTTTCAGTTACACTTCACATGTGTTGATTATATGCGTAGTGCTCACGCTGGCACACATGCTGCCGTAGCTGATAACGGCTATTTTTGGCCTAACGAACCTGCTGGATGCCTTCTGACAAAAACTGTGGCATTTTGTAAAACACAACTTTACATTAACCACATCATAACTATGTGTGTATTAAAAATGATAGCCAGGTAAGAGTCTTTAATCAGATGACTACATCAGGTACAAGTTAATAAGTTAATATTAATGGCTGCCACTGCTATTGTACACCAAAAACAAATGAATATCATAGTGCATCTTACCCTTTGTCCATTGTATTTAAAGTTGTTTGTAACCCTTATTAAATTAAAGGTGGCTCAATTCATCCTTTTTTATTATAATCCACAAATGTGTAAATGTTTTAAGTGAATGGAATGAACATCCCTTCTTGTCCTACCACAGTGTCTGTAGTGGTTGCAGAGAGGGTGTCAGTTGTTGTGCTGTGGGAGGGGGAGATAAGTCTAGCGAGCTGCTATCTTTCTGCTCAGCAGGATCCTTAGTGGGGTCTCTCTGTCACTCAAACCAACAAGCTACCGCCTCACACCAGTGCCTGCTGGACTGGACTGATTAATAATTTAATAATTTTAAAGCAAAGACAGCAAAACCACTAGTTCAGTCAGAAACACTTAGGTCAAGGAATTGACCATTCATAGAAAATGTCAGTAGAGTTAGATTTGACAGAAAAGCTATGTTGTTTGTGGGACGTCTCAAATATGCAACAACATGGATTCTGTTGGAAGAACCAATCCCCCTTAATGAAGACAAACATTTTTCAACAATCAACAAAACCAAAAATATAGCACATAAGGGGACGCAGTAATAGTGTGGTGTGTGCTGTTGAGTGATCACAGTGATACGGCAGATGTGGTTCAGTCCTCCAGCAGATGTCAGGCTTCACACAGATTTGGGTTTGGGTTTACCTAAAGGTGCCCTGTGGAGTTTGGTCCAAACTAAAGTTATACTGAAATTCTGTGTTACCCACCTATACATATTGTTTGCGTTCTTGAGGTATAACAAAACATTTTTAAATGCATTTTTTCCTTATAAAACACTTCCAATCTTTTTAAATATTTTCAATCAGTCATTGTGTACTAGCTAGAAGTTCTCTTCTTCTCTACCTTTGTTGGCACATTGCTACACTTCTTTGCACCTTACCGCCACTCTGTGTAATAGCATGAAACCATCATCAGGACTTTTAATGCCGCCCACATGCTTGTGTATGCGAATAATGCAAAATAGGGACCCACTTGTAAAACCATTGCTCCATAATGCTACTAGATGTTCATCTGGTGCACTCATTGCATAATATCCTGGCATAATCATGCATTCTTATCATTGTTGTACTTTCTTGCAGTACAGTTGTGGTTGGTGTCCCATGGCCAAACAAAGTGCATACATAGAGAAAGTAAGTAGACACAAACTGTGGCAATTGAAGAGATCTTTATTTGTTTTTTAGCACCTGATCTTTCTAGACCTTCTATGTAGTTATCAAAAAGTCTGTCATACAGATCAAATATTATATGAACATGCATTTTTTTAGTATCAAAACTTTATAATAGATTTTAGAGATATGTTTGTTCAACTTGAAAAGGATGATCTTAACCCACATGATCAAATTCTATAAATGTAAATCAAACAGAGAGCATTACACCTCTTAAGATACATACACTTCATAATTACAGAAATAATCAAGTCTTACAAAAACACATAAGTGGATGACAACTGAGACAAACAAAAATATTTTAATGGTTTAGTGTTTTAAATGTTAAATAATAGTTCTGTAAAATCAATTCCAGACAGAAAAGTTGAATCAGAAAACAAAATGACATCACTCTAGGTCACCATACCTATGAATGTGCCTTGTGCTTCAACAGGAACACATATATACACATAGTATGTAGCTGTGTTTTGCCAGAGTTATCCAGGAAAGCTTCATAGTTGGGATCGTAGCCACACAAACTGCTGCTGATATTTAATGTCCTGCTTGGTCATAGAATAGTGCAGAAACAGCAGCGTTTCTTGTGTGCAGTCTCAACTTCCTCAGGTGGAGGCACCTCAGGAGCTGGAGACTCCTCCTTACACTCTGACAGTGAGCCACTGGAGGTAGACAACAGCCTCCCACACACCAAGTCAGCAGCTTTTCCATCCATGACAGACAAGTCTGTCACCGTTTTCTCTCTTAGCGACATGTCTCCATCGTCATCATCATCTATCAGCACAAACTCCTTGAGGTAAACCATCCCCACCCCGTGGAGGCTGTAATTCTCTCCTGATTCCTCCATGGTGTGGGTGTCCACAAAGGTCAGAGTTGAAGTCTCTGTCAAGGTCTCATGTGGGTCTGTGGAGTTATCCTCTGGCCCCGAATAGGCCTGGCTGCTCGAATCCATCGTCCACGTGGAGTTCCTTTGAAGGCTCTCCTTCATGCTGTGCCTCTGGTCCTGGCTGTTAGAGATGATGTCTGGAACAGAGGACATCTTGCCTGTACCATCTCGGCTCGTGACATGGTCTCTCCTGGAGTGAGAACCGTTTTCTGTGGCATGACCATTCCCAGGATACATCTTAAAAGCCACCTTCTGGTAGTCATGGTAGACCTGCACTCTGCTGCTCCCAGTTGGGGAAGAGAGGGGGATGCTGGCAGTGTTGCCTTTTCCTTGCTTCTTCATGTATTCTCCCTTGCCACACTGAGACAAGACAGAAAACTGAGAGTTAATTCTTGAGCTTGAAAACGTAAGATCAATTACTAGCTAGGGGAGAGATAGTGGACGACACGCAGCTAAGGGCCATGGGTCAGAGTCGATGGCTCCTACAGCAAGGACCCGGCCTTGGTACATAGGGTTCCAGCTCTAGATGAGCTATCAGGGCTGGCAGTTTTGCTGTAACAATAGATGTCATAACAGCACTTTATGAATAAGCTTTTGAATTACAGAAACATTGCAAAGCTCACTTGAAAATATCTGTGTTTTAGAAGATTGTATCACTGACATGTAAGATTCATTACTTATACAACAGGGTTGAGTGATATGATGGTATACCTGTATACTGAGAGACAACAGAGATTTGTGTAACGGTAATGATTTTACTATTCTTTTTTTTTTTTTACCTATCCCTTTTAATATCAGTACTTTGTATTAGACCTATCCTGGCTACTAATCAATCAGCAGGACTGCTTTATGGCGATATTGGATTTACAGGATTTTTTGATTTTTTACCACATAGTACCTGATTTATTCTGAGGGGGGCATGACTGTCTGCACCAAATTTCATGGAAACACAAAACCACAAGTTGTGACGCTCGTGGTGGAATGGGAGTAAAAGTCAGGGGATCACAGGAGTCACAACGATTTATCCTATGGGAACTATAGTTCATGACAGTCCTCTGGATATTTTATTCTGGACGTTCTCTAACATTTCTATCTGATTATTTTCTCAAAGGTAATTTCAGAAAATGAACATCCTAAGATAGGTGACAAATTGAAGCTAAAACATTACTAAGTGTCTTAAGTAAAAACTTGGGCCATCATGAACCTCCAGAACAGCTTCAGTGCTACTTGGTATTGTTTCCTATGGAAATGGGAGGGATGAACACATTCATCCAAATGATAGCACCTCATTTGTCATTTTAATGATGGTGGTGGTCTAACACGTTGCTCCAAAAACCTCACACAGGTCAACTGGGTTGAGATCTGGTGACTGTGAAGATTTGCTATAATTTTTCTTTAATTTACTCAGGTTTTTCCTTTACTTTGTCACCTGTGTAACAGTGTATTACAATGTTATTTGTATCACTCACCCCTAATATATATGGTACTATTGTGCAGTTGCAGTATTAATATTATTCACATCTTTCGCTAATGCAGTAACTAGGGCACGTAATAGTAAGTGCAGTGGCGTTGTTTTATGAACAGTAAGGGAGAACAAGCTGTCATTTAGTATTGGCCTCTCTGAATAAATAAATGAAGTACTTCTAAAAGAAGCAAAAAATAACTTCAAATTCCCTGAGGATCAGCGGCTCTTTGAAGAAGGAGACAGACAAACTCCTCTAAAGTGCTCTAACCAAGGAAAGAGAGAGTATGTGTGTGTGTGTCATCTCTCTAAAACACACACACACACACTCCCCTTCCTCCAAGTGATTAATGCATCACTCAGAACAACTTCAGAACATAGTTTAGGCAGAATGTCAGGCGTTTTAAAAAAATAGGTACTGTAGAAATCTGCTATTACCCAAAGCTACAGTAGCAGAAAGTAGTATTTGAAAAGTTAATGTTTAAATGGTGCTTTTTGCTACACACATCTGACAGACAAATAAGTTAATATTAAGAGACATTGGATATTTACACTAAATACAAGTTAAAAACCTTCTGCAGGACGAGCGTTTCCACTTTACATTCCTACATGTCAAATGCAATGCACTCCGCACAGGAGCTTAACAGACTGACCCTCTTACACTTGACTGACTCATATGCATGACAGAATCGGGACTCTATAAATGAATAATAACAGCAATGTACATATTAAAGTGTTAGCACGCTCCACTCTAGCTTGTGGTGGTGACTGAGCAACAATAGATGAAAAATAGATTTGATTTAAACACATTCATTGCATTACCATTTTAGTGCATTTGGTTGGTGGCTGTTTTTGTCACAGAAGAAGGCCGACAACAGCTCTAACCGGGTAGAGGGAACTTACACTGGGAGAAATTAGACCACTTTATCTCAAGTACGTACAGTTGACCTTTATACCCTCAAAACAGTACATATGGTCCCAAGATAAAGGACCAAGATTTACCTTAGTATGGATAACTTAACTGCCAACCAAGCATTTAATTTAAATTTAGTATTTTTAGAGTGACACAACATTTCTAGAGCACTATTCCTTCAGTATCGTAGCCTTTGTTGTTAGGAAATGCTGTTTAATTAGTGCAGCTGCTAACAGCAACACTGTACAGTAGTTACACAACATAGCCAGCACTGTCCTATGCACTAACTAGACTATCAGGCTGTATATCAAGCACACAAGTTATATAACAACAATGGCTACAGGATTACACATATGTAAATCCAATATTTTCTCAAAAATCCACTTAAATTCAAATATTTAAGAACTGCTTTTACCTTAAACCTTCTACGGTTGAACTCTTCCCCAAGTTGCTGTAATGAAAATCACATGGCAGAAGAGGGATGACCCAGTGTGCGTTCCTCTGATCTGTTGTACAGCTGGTGAAACTGATTTCTCTTCTGTCTGGACGTCTATAGACAGACTCACACACGCCCTCCCCTCATCAAATAAACTACAACTGCTCACAGTGTGTGCAGGGAGGCGGTCGACAGATGCTCCACTGATACTAAGTCTCACCAGTAATACTGCTTTTTCCGCCCTTGTTATTTGGGCTTTTGCTGCACCTGCTTTATTTAACAATCTTCACATTCATATCTGCACACATTTACACCTGGAAACAATCCACAGAACACAAAATGAGACTTCACTTTTGGGTTCTGTTCTCATTGATCCAGAGGGAAAGACAGATTAACAAAAGGGCAACATTGCCAAGAATACATATTTTCAAACAGAAGGTATTTCTTCAATACATTGTACGATATACATAAAATCCCAACCTGACTTTTTAAATTCCATTTTCTATAATTTTAAAATAAAGGGAATGAACCACTGGAGTGATAATCTTGAATCATTCTTACCTTAAATCATTTTCTGATGAAAAACTCCATTGTTTTCTCTTCAAATTATCCCAGACAACCACAGAATAAATCCCCAGTCTTCCCCCCACTTTTACATGAGAAGTCATGCCAGAAACCTTATTCCTTTATGAAATGTTGCAGCGGTGCAGAGATGCATGAAAAGCCACTTCTCTCAGTCCCATACACTGAATGTGTTCCAATAAATAATACAGGAAGACAGACCTTCACATACATGAAAGCTGCAAACAGGCATATCGGAGGGATCAAATATTGAAAACTCTTCAATCCCTGTAGGGATGATGTCTGCATTAGCCTAGTATAGTCAAGCGGTGGACATGGCATCTGACAAAGTGCTCATGTACAGTAGATCTATGAAACCTATAGCACAAAGTCCTGCTTATAAAACAAATCAGAAATCTTTAAATACAGTCTTTCCCAGCTGTTATGACCCATTCAGGTTCATAAGAATATCTGACAACAACACAACACCGTCAGTAAACTGACTGATAACTGTTTCCTGATTGGAATGAGGCCATAATTTAACGAACAGTTTGACATTTTGGGCTGAGAGTTAGATGAGAGGACCAATACCACTATGGAGCAATAGCCTGCAGCAGGCAATTTTTTTTAACACTGGACAGAGCCCTCCTCGCTGTTTCCCACTGCTACTAGTCTTTATGCTAAGTTAATCACATCCTGATTCCCTACAACTCAATACATACTAGACATTAAAATAGCAGTGAACTTTAAAAAAGGCTTTGCTTTGCTTCTCTTGCTATGTGAAAATGTCATGAAAAGGAATATTTTATGTACATATAAGCAGAAAATATGGCCTGTATCAATGATGGAAAGGTTTCATTTACTGACAACGCTGGTACATTTCTAACCCTGTATGAAGGTGAACGTGCTCCAGTTACTCTGCACCAACAGTGCAGCACACCAAGCTTTGCTTTTTGGGGTTCACATTAGACTCTTTGTGTAATATAACATTGTGCTGTACTTGTGTCAGTGTTATAAACAACAGGACAATAATCTCAGTCAGAACCTAATTCTGTGATATATATATATATATATATACACACACAGAGTCATAGACATTTATATACAAAAGACAGATCTTACCAATGATACTAATTAAGGCTCTGT